TGATTTGACTATATTTCCACAAGAGTGCATTACCCATACGTAGTAAACTTTGGTTTGACAATGAAAGATTGAAAGGTGTCACCGATAATCCATCAAACCTCTCTCTATTTTTTAAATCACGATTAAATAACTTCAAATTATCATTTAATGGATAAAATTCTACAAATTTTTATTATATTCTCTTTTGATACGATAATTTTTCATATCACCTTTTGATACGACTGAATCGGCTACTTAGGCTGAAATTTGTGAAATTCTAATTGAAGTGTTTGATTGGCTGACTGAAATTTTGTAAATCTATGAAAAAATATATTTACAATAATTTTTATTAATAAGATAAATAAAAACTTATATGAAGAAATAGTCATTATCTTTTTTTAAGGAGTTATTATCTTTCATATAACACCAATATTATATTTTTTAAATTGTTATAAATTTTTTATTTATAATTTGATTTTTATAAAAATTATATCAAAATTCATATTTTTTACGGAGTATTACCTTTCATATGACATCAATATTAAATAAATAAAAATATAAATAAATCTGAAAATACGAGGTGTCGAAGTTTTTACGCTCATTTTTTTTATAAAATAGATCTATGCTCTAAAACCAAGTTCGCCTAATTATATAGCTCAGTTTCATGTTGTAATTAGTGAATTTTTTGATACTAAGAGCTTGTTTGATGATCCTATTTTTCGCTTTATCAGAAAACTTTTTCACCAAACACGTAACTTTTGATTTTGAACGCTGGGTTGTGTAATACTCCGTAATAAGAAAAAGTAAGAGTGAAGTTACTTTATTGACTATATTGGCTGAAATCACTGCAGAGAACCATTTAACTATTTCTTCATATAATTATTTTATCTTATTAATAAAAAATATCTTACATATAATTTTTTTAATGATCAGCAGTATTAGTCAATCTAGCAATTTTAATAAGATTTTCTTAAACTTCAACAGAATCAATCAATTCAATCAATTTCAGTGTTATCAAACGGGCTCTAAAAAATTACGAGATCTTAGTTTTAGAACATAGATCTACTTTAAAATGTTTGTAGTTTAAAACACATCTACTCATCGTTACTTCAATATTATTTTAATTTTTATATATCGAATATTGCTGTCATATGAAAGATAATAAAAATTTATAAATTTGGATATAATTTTTATGAAAAATCGAGGATTGTAACTATAAAAGTTACAACAACTTTTAAAAAAGATGGATTTTTTAATTTTTGATGAGTTCCTATTGGCTATCTCATAATCCACACTTGTAGCATTGTAGCTTGCTTCTTGGGCGACTAAGAGCATCTCCAATGATGTGGCAAAATTTGTTAGAAGGTCTATTTTAAAATGGAATCAATATTACAAAAAATGAGGGTCCATTAGACACCCCTCCGGTGCGGAGAAAAAATTGACAGAGAGTGACCCTCCAAGCAAATAACAAATGCAAAAGTAAAAAATTGGAAAATAGAGAACAAAGGAAATGAGTGGTCATCCATGCCTGCGACCGAAGGTCCATATATGGACCTTGTGCTAGACCTCATTCCACTTTTTTATTTGGCACATCAGCTTCACCCCATTCATTCTTCTTTGCATTGGAGAAGACACACATCCACCAAGTTCAATTGGTGATGTGGAATAACAATGCACCTCACCATTGGAGTTGCCCTAACCAGAGGAGGTCAGAGTCTCCAAACCATTTGGCGGTTTTCATTGACTAGGATTTATTCCAGCCGTATTTTGGTAAATAGTTTCAAATCAACTCTAATTTCGTAAATAATTTTTTATTTAGCATTATTTTGAAAAAAAACTCATGAACATCCATAGCTTTCACTTTGGACACTCTTTATTCTCACTATATATGAGATCATTATACATATAATAACAACTTGTAAATTCATATTTGACAAAATGTATGAACATACTTACATGTGTAGTAGTTGTAGTCGACACAGCCCAACTCCGTGACGGTCCCAGTCTTAGACGGTTGGCTATAATAATTAGAGAGACTCCTGATTATTTATTTATTTCTATATTTTTTAAATCCTTTATCCACTCCCCATCTCTTATTGAACTCTTAAATGGATCTTCACACGTTTTAAAATGTTTCCCAATAACTTTATTGCAGAAAAAGTGAGATCTAGACCCAATGACGGACCCAGAAAATCGGAATCACGGGGTCCTTACTCTAATGTAACTAATTAATGTAAAATTAATAAAAACAGAAGTAAAATACTATAGTAGATAATGTTTCATAGTTAATTTTGATCCCGAGGTTGAAATGGCCCATTTTGAATGTAACTACGGCGCAACTCGTCTTAAACATTAGGATGAAAATAGGCAATTTAATTTCACATTCAGCAATTATTTGATCCAGTTCTTCATTTAATAATGACGAATCACTTGAATGAACATCTGAGCTATGTATTCCCGGTACTCCAAATTTCTTTAAATTTGGGTAGACTATGGTAATATCTATTCATCCTAAATAATGAATTATTGAAAAAACATCTATAAATATCATAAATATAATTATTTAATATTAACATTCAAATAAATTTAATAATTCATCCAAAAAAAATCAGTTTTTTAAAATTTATAATAAGAATATTTTAACAATGTTTCTAAAAAATTTAATTTTTAAATAGAGAAATACTGAAATAGAGTATGTGAATAGTGTAGAATTCAACATGTTGCAATTATTTAAAAACGAAGACAAAAATAGGAGTCTTAACTTTTCAAATGGGGTCTATTTTACAAGCAATCAATTAACTTATACAAAAATGATTTATAAAAGGAAACAAGAAAACAAAGAGAAGGACTACTTTGATCTTTCAAGTTCACAAAAAAAAAAACTCTCAGAGGAGAATCGATCCGTGTACCTTCCAAAGCAGTAGAGCTTTGAACGCAAAGTATGCTACAATTAAATCCATCCGTTCTTTACATATCAGTTAACCTTTGTTTTATATATACGTTTCTTAGCTAATTTTTATATAAAATATACTATATAGTATATATAGGTGTTTTTTAGTACATGGGTCCCGGGATCCCGTGGGACCTTTAGTGGGTCCGCCACTGCCTAGAGTCCTAGACCGTAATCTTAAAACTCTTATTTGTATTTGATTGTGTAACTTTTGCTTGAGCATTGCCTTCTATTGTTTCAGTTTATTGTGTTTCAGTAATTACACAAAAAGATGCGGAGTATTACAAATATTATTTCACTATTTTTTATAAGTAGTTACACACAATTTAAAAAAAAAATACACAATTTTTTCACTAACTCATAATCGTGTGTGGGAGTACTTCCTTTCTAAACTAAAGTCACTTCCGAGGTATGGATTAATAATTTACCACTCGCAGTCTCGCACGATACTCCAATACATCGAGATTCGAGATAAACAAAATGACTTAACTGTGTATTAATTTGACCTATTATTATAAATTGTGTAATTAGTTACACGTACTTTATAGACTTTCACACAACCAACCGTGTACAAACTACAAAGTTGCTAATTGGCCTTGCGAAATTGTCCTAAATACCGATATAAGTTTTGGAAATCCAAAATATGGGTGTTATATGTCCTAAAATAATAATCCGTATTAAGACTATAATTGAATCACAAATGCTAAAGGTACCCCAAAATGTACCCCATTTTTACCCCCACCCCCTAATGTGTGGCCATAAATGGAGCAATTCATTTAAGTGGGACACCACTTAAATGAATTGGCCCATTTATGACCACACATTAGGGGTTGAGGTAAAAATGGGGTACATTTTGGGATACTCCTAGCAAAACTCTAATTGAATAATACTGTCATGTTGAAAAATATGGTTATTAATGATAATAAACATTTTCATATTTAATGCCTAGTATTGTCACAATTTGTAGCCCGTTTGGTAACACTAAAATTTGTTGAATTTGTTGATTTTGCTGAAATTTATGAAGTTCTGGTTGAAGTGGCTGTATTGGCTGATTCATGAAAAAATTATATTTAAAATATTTGTTATCAATAAATTAAATAAAAAATTATATGACAAAATAGCTAAAATGACCCTCTAAAATAATTTCAGCCAAAACAGCCAGAAAACTAACTCCAACCTTACCTTTTCTGCTTATTACAAACTTCAGCGCGCGAAATCAAAAATTACTTGTTTGGTGAAAAAGCTGGCTGATTCCTGATAAGCCGAGAAAGGGGCTCACCAAACGGGCTCTTGATAACTCAAAATAGAAGTGGTTAATGTCATGATTGAAAAATAATGACATTAAAGATACTACCCCCGTCCCTTAAAACGTTGCCAACTTTTCCTTTTTTAGATGTCCCACTAACTTTGTCATTTTCTCATTTAAGTAAAGAATTCATGGTTCCAGTTAATTCTCTCTCCTCTTCACAAACCTCAAACACACAATTTTTACTTTATTAATCTTCGTGCCGGTCAGACCTGGCAAAGTTTTAAGGGACGGAGGGAGTAATAAATATTGCCATATTTAATGTCAAAATCGTAATGATTTGACAATAATGATTATAAGATGAGAGTAAATACTGTCTAAGGGCATGTTTGGCACAACTAGTTTAAAAGATACTTTTGTGAGCTTTTTAATAACTGTTAATTTTTAGTGACTGAAAAGATTAAAGAGAAAAGGTGATAGCGGTTTGGTAAAAAGCTGAGTGTTTGATTTAGTTTGGTTTGGTATACAAGCTGTTAGGACTAATTAATACTAAAAGTCACGAGCTTTTTTCAGATGCTACTCTCTGTAGCATCTCAAAAAAGATCCTTTAATTTTTGAAAAGCTCTTAAAAATTGTCGTACCAAACATATAACTAGAAATTTTTAGAGACTTTTTGAACATTACAAAAGTTAGAAGGTAGAGGCTTATGTCTGCCAAACATACCTTAAATTATTTCTATTTTGCTAAATCTATTTACTAATGAACTTTTCCCCCTTATAAAACTAATCCAGGATAGAGATGCTCCGTATTTCTTAATTTCTCATCTAAAGTTTTCCTTATTTAGCTACGAACCAAACAGAACTTATGATTTTCCCTTCTGTTTTCCATTTTAAAAAAAACTTCTGTGATGGCTCCAATGAAGTTCACTCTCCACCCCAAAACTTAAGAAATTCGAAAGCCCAAGAAAGAATATCGCTATTGCTATTTCGTCCTTCTCTTTCCATAATATACATCATAGATTCATACATCATCACCGAAGATCTACACTACGCAATTTGAATATCTTTTCCCCAAGCCGAAAAAGCACCCAAACACACCTCCCCGTCAAGAGAGATTTTGTGCGTAGGAAATGGCAAAGATTTCTGAACAGAAAATCAGAGAAGGTCAATGAGGATACGGAAACCCGAATCTGAAAATCTTTCTATAATCGTCTCCTCTGTGTGGGTACAAAGAGAGCCAGCAAAACTCGAACTCACTAATCTGGTAACTGCTTTAATGGCGCTCACTAGCTGTAAATGAATCATCAGTTTTTTCCTTTTTCTTTCCAGGAAACCTTTTTTTGGATTTATTGTATGATAAAAAGTTGAAAAAGTCTGGAAAAAGGACTAATTAATGATTATTCTGAGTCTAGAGGCTTTATTATCATAAATGGAAAGCCTCTCTGGTGGGGCTCTGAGTATGGTATGGGGCGGTGTATGCTTTGTAATATTTCTAATGATTTAAGTACACGCTGCTTCAGAAAGTTAGTGTGAGAAAAGACTCTTTTATACGGAGTAGTTAGATAAAGTTCGTGGCTTTGAGAGAGGAAAAGAAAGAGGTTCGTCACTTTTCTTTCCTTAATGTGTTTGCAGCTGTATATTTCTAAAAAAAAGGGTTGTTTTTACTAAAGTTTGAATCTTTTTACTTCTTTTGCTATGGGGACATTATAACTTTTCAATTTATGGCATATGTTAGCCAATGTATTTTTGAATTACAAAAAGGAAGAGATTCTGCTGAAGATAAGTTTGGGGGATTGGGAAAGGGGGGTGTTTTTTGATTAAACACTTTTTCTGAGTTAGTTGAGTTTGTGATTGGTTAAACAAAGGAAGTTTCAATTTCTTTGATGAAATTTTTTATTGTTTCCCATTTATGATGATTACCCTCATCTTTGTTCTTTTTCATTCTTACGACTCTTGACTGCTATTTTTCTGCAATTTCTTGTTCCTTAAGTTGAAGTTTTTCAAAAAGATTCAGTCTTTTAATTGTTTATTTATTTATGATTCCCTTTTGTCCTGTAACACAGTTGTTCACGAGGTTGTGTCAGTGAATAAAGAAATTGAAAAAAGAAAAAGAAAAGAAATCCAATCTTTTTGTACCACATAAGCTCAGAGCATTATTTTAAGGTTGTGATGGATTAGCCTTTTATGACCTCATGACTTATCTGCTTCACAACTTGTGATGATTCTAAGTGTCTAATTCAAACTGAACTCTCTCACAGTCGGCCAGGACCTCTGCTAAAACCTTTACACTTCTCTCTCTCTCTCTCGAATTTTCTTTAATTGCAGACAGAAAATGGGAAAAGCAATAAGGTGGCTGAAGGGCTTGTTTGGCATGAAGAAAGACCGGGAAAAGAGGCCTCGGAAGTTCTCAAACTCTCATGATAATGTTCATGCGGAGGATTCCTCTTGGTTGAGATCAGAACAGAACAAGCACGCGATAGCTGTGGCGGCAGCCACCGCGGCCGCCGCCGATGCGGCGGTGGCAGCTGCTCAGGCGGCTGTTGCTGTGGTTAGACTTACCAGTCAAGGGAGAGGTGTTGTGTTCAATTTAGGGAGGGAGAATCAGGCTGCTCTCAGAATCCAATCTGTTTTTAGGGGCTACTTGGTAAGTTCATTAATAAGTAGCTTGTGTTATTGTCTCAGTAGTCAGTACATATGCATTTAATTCTGTTCCTGTCTTGGTAATGTTATTATTATATTTCATCAGTTCAGTATTCAATTGCTGCTGAAATAACTGCTTTCATTTAAAAACAATTTCTGAACTGTTGAACTTTTCAAATATGTTTGGTATTTGGTATTTAAGTTGATTCAAATATGCTATTTGTGAACATACTCTGAATGTTTCTAAGTGAATTTTTGGTATGCATAAGTCACATTGCCTTTTTGTATTATTTAAAGTCTTTAGCTTTTGGTATAACACTCTTTTGGAGTTTGAGTTGAGAATTTAAGATTTTCTTGAGAAGCTGAGGAGAATTTTTTAACTTTTAGTACCGGAGTATTGTTTACAATTTCAAGCAGTCAAGAGTAAATTATACTCCGTACCAAACAAGACTACGTCAATCAGTCAGCTTTTATCAAACAATTACAATCTTTTTATTTTAAAATTTTCAATTATTAAATGCTAAAAATAACTAAAGACTAATAAGTTCAAATGAGGAAAACTCTATGGAAAGAAAAAGGCAGGGTAACATAGAGGAAAGTTCAAACCAATAAGTATTGGGATTTTAAAAGCTAGGCTACGACTCAATGAGTTTATTTCTGATGTGTGCTGACAACTTGATACTCATTTTATTGATTTATATCTGCAAAAAAGAAAAACTTTAAAGCTAATCGTATTTTAATGCTATAAATTTCCTAAAGTAAAACCATACAAAAGAAAATAAATTTCCTTAACATTCTATTTCATTTTCCTATAATTTTTCAGGACCAAACATATTTTAAGGAAATATTGTACTGAAAATAACATATTGATATAAATGACCACATACCCACACTGAATTCAATATATTTAATGTGGCAAATAATTATGTTATAAATGACCACATACCCACACTGAAGTCAATATAAGTATAAAGCAAGAGTGAAATAATTATGTTAGTCATTTTACTATGTTTTAACAATAATGAAAACTTATTTAAGAATATAGGGAGTATATTAATGTTTCTAAAGTCAAGGTAGAAATAGTATCACACACATGAACACGCATATTAATGATTGAAAGTACCATGTACTGAATATTTTCTATGAATGGTGAAGTGCACTGTTTCAAAAAGAGCAATTAGTCTTTACTTTCCATTTTGAAGTGGCAGTTAGTCTTGAAATGTTATGTTGGATTAGCCAATGATGATCCTGGACTCCTGGTTACTGTTATAAATTCCTGAATTTGGCTATTTTGTCAGTTTAGATAGACCAAAAAGTGTTTCTTGAACCCCACTCCCCTGTTGGGTGACAAGATCTGATTACTTTTTCCCCTTTTTTAGGCTAAAAGGGCTCTGAGGGCTCTCAAGGGACTAGTGAAAATACAGGCTCTGGTTAGGGGATACCTGGTAAGGAAAAGAACAGCAGCCACTCTTCACAGTATGCAAGCTCTCATTAGAGCCCAATCTGCTGCCCGTTCTCGAAGAGCCCGCCGTTCAGTCAATGGTGACAGACTCCCGCCTGAAACTCGTGCCAGGAAGTCCATTGTAAGAATTCTTGTTTGGGGTTTCATAATAACTAGTCCATTCGGTGCTCACTCACAGCTAAACAAGTTAGGCTCAACGAGTAGCTTTTGACTTATTTGGCTTCAGTAAAAAAATTTCTTTTTAGAACTCCCCAATTTTAGCCCATAACCATTACTAAACAAGCCTTTAGTGCTCAATAAGGGTAGACTGCTCCTGCTTCCTGAACCAGTTTGTTATTTGCAAGGATTCCAAACTGAAAAATGGTTCCGGACCTGAACTTGGAACCGGTCCAAATCCTGTTCGGTTCCTTCAAAATAGGACCTGACCAATTCTGGTACCCATTTCTTAAAATGCTTAAAGCCGGTACCGAATTGACCCAAGAGCTAGGCTGGAACTAACCCAAGAATCAACTGGATTGGGTGTCCTTGACTATGGTTCCGAATTCCGATTGCACATTTTCAAGGACCTGGATCTGGCTGGTCTCATGGTCTAGAACCGGACAGGGACCTTCTTCCACCCCTAGTATATGGTAAAAGATTATATGGCTGATAGGCTGGGGAAATGTGGTAACCAAACACACACTGTAACATCAACTCAAGCAAATACATTCATGTTTCTGTTGCAGGAGAGATTTGATGAGTGCAGAAGTGCCTTCCATAGTAGGAGGCTTTCAGCTTCTTCATACGATACCTCATTCAACGGCGGATTGGATGAGAGCCCTAAGATTGTGGAGATCGACACTTTCAAGCTAAAATCGATGACCCGCAACGCTTGCATGTCTGAATGTGGGGATGACCCATATTATTACCACGCACCCTCATGTCCAGCGCCAGGGAGAGTATCCCTCCCGGATTATGACTGGAGTTTTCTAGGTGACGACATGGGGGGGAAGTTTCATACTGCCCAAAACACTCCTCGAGCACCAGGCAGGAGGAACGCACCACCCACGCCACCCAAGAGTGTGTGTGGGGACCACTTCCCGAGTTACATGGCAAACACACAATCGTTTCAGGCTAAACTGAGGTCACATAGCGCTCCGAGGCAGAGGCCGGATGCCGCGGTGGGACCCACGAAGAAGAGGATGTCTCTGAATGACATCATGGCATCAAGGAGTAGCTTTACTGGTGTTAGAATGCAAACTCCTTGTAATGTAAGAGAAGAATATCACTTCTGATGATTAAAAGAAGCACTTCAAGTTTTAGTTTTCACCTTTTACTCATTCTCTCAATGCATTTCTTTTTACTTTTACATTATGTTGGATCCCCGAAAATGCTTGGGAAATGAAAGAAAATGCCAACTTTTTGTTTTTAACTTATATATGCTTGGTTACTTGAAAATGCAAACGAAAATGATATACAATTATTAAACCTAATATTGAATTTGGTTGAAGTGATTGAAATTTGTCAAATTTTGGCCAAAGTGGTTTATAATTGGCTGAATCTATTGAAATATGAAATAATTATATTTAAAATATATCTTATTAATAAAATTAGGAAAACTAAATGAAAAATAGCTTAAGTGATTCTCTACGGTAATTTAAACTAAACTAATATAGTTAGAAGAATAATTTTAGGCTTTTAGCTTATTTTGATTAAAAGTTACGTGTAGAGGTGGACTCGGACCAGGTCGGGCCCGGGCCGGTTAAAGTAATTTTTTTTTATAATTTATATTTTATACTTTATAGTTTTATACAAGTATTAAAAACAAACTTCAAGTGCATTTATTTGAAATATGAACTACAAGTTTACAAGTTACAATTGAGAATTGAAGGTAAAATTAAAACATGAAATACTAATCAATCATTCAATCGGAATCTCCGGCATAGGTAGAGCCACCCTCGGTTGTAGATTCATCCATAAAGTGTTGGGATGGAGCGATGTCAATTTCTTGAGCTCTACGGGCCGCTTTCAACCAATCGTGGTAGCATATAAGCATCTCAAGAGATTCTGCGCTCAACCTCATTCTACATTGCGTTAGGACATTGCCGGTCGAACTAAATTCTTGTTCCACGGCAACCGTTGAAACCGACATTGATAGCACTTGCTTAGCCATCTTTGCTAAAACCGAGAACATTCTTTCTTTTCCCTTCCACCAGTTTAGTACGTCAAAATCATCATCTTCTTCAAAATCAACATCATATGTTAAATACAAAGAAATCCCATTAATTGTGCTTTGTTGCGTAGCGGGAGTTTATTTCTTTTTTTAATAAGATTGGCAAATGTAGATTTGAAAATTGATTTTCCTTTAGATGATGTTTGTGTCGGGGGAGGGGGCGCATTGCCATATTGTGCATTAAACTCATTAAATAATGCATAAAATATATCACTAACCTCGTTGTATTCTTTTTTCGGATCAATTGGGTTGTCCTCATACATTGACAATGGACCAAAAAAGCAGCATAATAATAATTCAAACATTCTTCTAAAGAACTGATAGGACCCCGGCTATTACAATTAATAAGAATAGATATGGTTTAGTCTATTCTAGAAAGAAGAAGTAGTTTAGTTGTTGGCAGGCGGGTAGTTGTTATGAACTACTAACTACTTGTAATAAGGGGAGGGGACTATAAATAGAATAAATTGGTCAGCAGTTAGGCAGTCTGTTAGATGCTTGGCTTGGGACTGGGAAGTTAGAGTATTATCTCTAGCTTTGGGACTGTTCTACTGTTTACCGCCATTAATGAAGTTTGTGAATTGTTGTAAGCTTGTGTTGTGTATTGTGGATTGCTACTGGTTACTATCATTGGTATCAGAGCGTGTTTGATCGCTGGATGACCGTGACGCGCGCAAGGATGGAAAGCAGATTGACGGAAATTGAAAGGAGCCAGAGGGAGATGCAAGCTAGCATGGAGAGAAATTTGAGAGAGATGTAGTCAAATTTCACTACCGCGTTGGCCACAATGCAAGCTAATCTAGCGGAGATGCAGAGCAGAAACTCGGAGAGATCGCGAAGTCGTTCACATCAATCGAACCATTCGCGTCGATCATCACAGAGGAAACAGACGAAGCGTGATGACAGTTCGGAAGGTTCTGAAACCAATTCCGATCATTCTGGTTCGCATCCGGATCGCGAGCGCCAAAATCAACATCGGAATCCTAATAAAGCTGGAAGGAAAATCGATTTACCGATTTTCAACGGAGAGGATGCCTTTGGTTGGTTAATGAGGATGGATCGATATTTCAGGCTGAATCAGACTGATGAGCGTGACAAAATTGACCTGGCAGTTCTGGCAATGGAGGACCAAGCACTTAGTTGGTTCCAATGGTGGGAAGGTCAGACTCACCATCTGAATTGGGAGACATTTACGAAGGATTTGACTACACGTTTTCAACCAGAGCTGGTACAGGATCCATTAGGACCGTTGTTCAGCTTAAAACAGAGAGGAACGATGAAGGAGTACAGAGACAAGTTTGAAACAGCCATAGCGTCCCAGGGACACTTAACCGAGGAGGTTCTGAAAGGCGTTTTTCTAAAGGGACTGAGAAGAGATATCAGGGCTGAACTGAAGTTGTATACTACACGAACCCTAGCTGAACTCATGGGCCAAGCTTCTCTTATTGAGAACAAAAATAATGAAGCAATGTTGATGAAGAACAGAGAGGAAGGGAAGAAGAAGGGGCTAAGTAAGAATAATGGCCCAAATTATCAAGCAAATTGGGGTGAAGGGAGCAGATGGAAAAGTATGGCAAACAGTAACTCTAACCTACCCAAGAGTAACTCAGATTACAGAAGCCATAGTGACATGAAGGCACCTAATACGAGTACATCAGGCCCCAGGTTATCCAGGAGTGAGCTCCAGGAAAGAAGTAGGAGGGGATTGTGTTTCAAGTGTGGAGAGGACTGGGGCAAGGGTCATGTCTGTAAAATGAAGAATTATAAAATGATTCTAGTGGAGCAGTCTGAAGGAGAAGAGGAATCTGAAGGAGAAGTAATGGAAGGGGGAGAAGAAGATGATACTCACAAACAACTTAAAACAATGCAACTGTCTGTTTTAAGTAAGGAGGGTATTCCATCAATGAAAACATTCAAGGTGCAAGGTGTGTTGAGCTGGGGTGATGGGAGACAACCTGTCAATATTCTGATTGACAGTGGGGCCACACACAACTTCATAGCGCAAGGGTTCATTGACAGATGGGAAGTACCTTTTATGCCTTTACAAGGAGTGAGTGTGCAGATTGGTAATGGGGATCTCATCCATAACAAGGGGAGATGTGATGGAATGAAGATGGAAGTGCAGGGGAATGACATACATCAATCATACTATATACTGGAATTGGGTGGCACAGATATTGTTTTGGGGATGGCATGGTTGACTGAGTTGGGAGACATGGAAGTGAATTTTCATAAGAAAGTGATCAAATGGAAACAAGAAGATAGGATAAATTGTATCCAAGGGGAAGAAGCTGCATTGAATAATTGGGAGGTTCCAATGAAGACTATGCTTCAGATTCTGCAGACAGAAGGAGAGGGATATTGTCTGTATTATGGGGGGCAATTGTTTGGTTTGGAACAGAATACTAAAGAAACCAAGGTTTGGGAGGACATCATTGCCACATTTCCAGAGGTGTTTAATGAACAGTTGAAGTTTCCTCCTGCTAGAAACTGTGATCATGCCATAAACATCCAAGAAGGAGCTAGCATACCAAATCTGAGGCCCTACAGGTACACATTTGATCAGAAAAATGAGATAGAAAAGGTAATTGGTGAAATGTTGAAAACAGGTATCATTAAGCACAGTAACAGTCCCTACAGCAGTCCTATCTTATTGGCTAGAAAAAAAGATGGTGGTTGGCGATTTTGTGGGTATTATAGAGCCTTGAATAAGATCACTATACCAGACAAGTTTCCCATACCAGTTATAGAAGAGTTGCTAGATGAATTGAGGGGTGCAGTGGTTTTTTCCAAGCTAGATCTGAAGTCAGGTTACCACCAAATCAGAATGAAAGAGAGTGACACCTGTAAGACTGCTTTCAGAACTCATGAAGGTCATTATGAGTACCTAGTCATGTCATTTGGGTTGACTAATGCTCCTTCCACTTTTCAGGCTCTAATGAATGAGGTTTTGAGACCTTTCCTCAGGAAATTTGCATTGGTATTCTTTGATGATATACTGGTTTACAGCAAAACTAAGGAGGATCATAAAGAACACCTCAAATTAGTTCTGGAGGTTTTAAAGAAGAATGATTTAGTAGCCAATCAAAAGAAGTGCTCCTTTGGTCAGGAGCAACTGAGTTATTTGGGTCATATTATTTCTGCAGAAGGGGTGGCAGCTGATCCTATTAAAACTAAAGCCATGGTAGAATGGAGTGTACCAAAAGATTTGAAGGAGTTGAGGGTTTTTTTGGGTCTTACTGGATATTATAGAAGGTTTGTCAAGGGCTATAGTCACATTGCTGCTCCATTGACACAACTGTTGAAGAAGGATGGGTTTAAATGGAGTGATATGGCTACAAAAGCTTTTGTAGAATTGAAGAATGCTATGTCTTCTTTACCAGTGTTGAGAATCCCTGATTTCAATAAAGTTTTTGAAGTAGAAACTGATGCATCTGGGAGGGGGCTAGGGGCAGTACTTATGCAAGATGGGGGTCCCATTGCATTTTTAAGCAAGGAACTGGCACCCAAGCATTTGAGTAAATCTGTTTATGAAAAGGAGTTGATGGCAATTGTGTTTGCAATTCAGAAATGGAGGCCCTACTTATTGGGTAGGAAATTTGAGGTTCACACGGATCAAAGAAGTCTCAAATACTTGACTGAGCAAAGAATCATGGGAGAGGATCAACAAAAGTGGATTGCTAAGCTTATGGGATACAATTTTATCATTAAATATAAACCTGGATGTGAGAATAAAGCTGCAGATGCTTTGTCAAGGAAACCTAATTTGTCAGCCTTATCAATTGTGAACTGTCAGGAATGGGAAGGGTTAGAAGATGAACTGCAGGAAGATCCAAAATGTGCTGATATTATTCAGAAGATTTTAAGTCATCCTGATCAGATGGTGGACTTCAGAATGAAGAAAGGGTTGTTATACTACAAGGGAAGGCTGATGATACCCCAAAATTCTCCTAGAGTGACAAGGATTCTTAAGGAGTATCATGATTCTGCTACAGGAGGACATTCTGGGAATTTCAGAACTATGAAGAGGGTTTCAACACTGTTTTATTGGGTGGGTATGAGGAAACAGATTCAGTTATATGTGCAGAATTGTGATGTTTGTCAAAGAAACAAGTATCAAGCTTTGAAACCTGCAGGGTTGTTACAACCTCTACCTATTCCAGATTGCATTTGGACAGACATAAGCATGGATTTCATTGGTGGGTTGCCAAAAGCTCAAGGGAAAGACACTATACTGGTTTTGGTT